AAGGAACACTGATAAAGAAAACCAGAAAGTTTTAAAGAGGCTAGAGAGGACTGCTGTAAAACAACATATTCTGGACATGACAAGGTCTTCATACTCATGAACTTAGAGCAGCTATGACTGGCTGCACCAGATATGCACAATATAAAACTGGCCAGGATTTCAGCATGGATTGAGGAGAGGTTCATGAGTCCCAATCCATAGATGAAGAGCTATTGTCAGTTGAAAGATTCTTGGAGAGAGGTAGCTTTCTTTGAGGGTCTAGACACTGGTATATTGCTCTTGCTTCAGTGGATGGTCTTACACCCATATGCACACACACATAGGTAGCAATAACTGAACTGCAAGGACAAAAATGGAGAAGAGACTGAGGGAAAGGAGGTTCAGTGACTGGCCCAACTTGGGCTCTAAGGCCTGACACTATTAATGATGCTATGGTATGCTTAAAGACAGGAGCCTAGCATGGCTGTCCTTTGGTAGGCCCAACAAACAGCTGACTGAGACAGATGCAGATACTTACACCCAACCAATATACTGAAGTCAGGGACCCCTGTGGTAAAGCTTGAAGAAGCTGAGGAGGAAGGAGACCCCATTGGAAGACCAGGATTTTCAACTAACCCAGACCTCTACAATCTCTCAGACACTGAACCACCAACCAGGTAGAATACTCTAGCTTGTCTGAGGCCTCTGACACATATACAGCAGAGGACTGCCTTGTCTACCCCCAGTGGGAGAAGATGTTCCTAATTTTTGGGAGACTTGAGGCTTCAGGGAGTAGGGAGATCTGGTTGGGTAGGGTGGGGACATCCTCTTGGGGATAGTGGGGAGGAGGAATGGGATGAGGAACTGTTAGAGGATGGACTGGGAGGCAGATAATGACTGGACTGTAAAAATAAGATTAAAGATAAATATTAAAACAAAACAAATAAACAAATAAAAACCCCTAAGAGTATAGGAGGTTAGAAGGGCACACAGTGGAGGCAGTTTGAGAAGATTTAAAAGGGAAGTAAATGTTAGCAAAATGCATTGTATATGTATATGTAATATTCATGCATATGAAAAATTCATATACATGGAATTTCCAATAAATAAAAATATTTTTAAAGAAAAGATTTCAAATTCTGCCTAGGATATTGATATATACCTCTAATGCCTGCACTTAGGAGGTAAAGGCAGAAGATTAGCAAGTTTCAGGCCAGCTTAGGCTACTCTAGTGGGTTCTAAGAGGGTCAAGGCAACATAGTAAGATCCTGTCTTAGGAAAACACAAAATTAGTTTTTCTTAAGACAAAATAAAAGAAAGAAACAATTAAATTGGCAAAGAGATTATAGAAACTATGTCTTTGAATGACAGTTATCCCCAAAGTTACCACTTTTTACTACAGATAATGCGATCCTTCCCTCTGATAAGATTCATTTATTTTTTTTATTCAGGACAGCCAGTAAATTTCTAAAACAATACCAATGTTACTAGATAATGCTTTTAGATAAATACATATGGAGATTTCCCCATTGGAGGGTAAGTTATTTAATTTGCAATGAAATGCAGTCTTCCCCAGTTAGAAACAAGTCAGGGTTATAGAATTTGAATAATCAGCAAATTACTTCTCAGTTATCTTTCTATCGAAACCACTCGTTTTCACCCATTTCATTGTCAAATTAAATTTAATTCATTAAAAGTGTCTTTTTAAACCATCAGATCTATGTCTTAGTTCAGAACGAAACAAGCCAATAAGGGAATCTCATTCAAGTCACTTTTATACTTATTGCTCAGAAACTCCTAGGAGACATTGTACATGGAAGAAGTAGTGCTGTGTTGTCATGAGAATTGGATAAGTAGCCCAGGCCAGCATCTATTTATAACATATTTCCCCCCATTTAATGATAATAATTGATATAGTATATGTATGCTTGTTTGCATCTATGTATTCACATATGGATGTGTACATGTATACACGTTTGTGGATGCACATGCAATTTCATATGTGTGCATGTAGAGATCAAAGTTATTTTTGGGTCTGTTACTTATGCATTGTCACTCTTTTTTTTTTTTTTTTTTAGGGCAGGGCAAACCCTAGTTTATTTCAGTGTCAGCAACAGCTTAGCCATCAAAAAAATAAACTCTACCCAGGGCAACAGAAGTCTCTATAGTGAGGCTAAGGGCTCAGCCGCCAGGATACAAGAATCAAAGATGTGGGCGCTGCCTGGGTAATAAGTTAACCTGGTGGTGGTGAGGGCCAGGCTAAGAGCTGAGGGAGCAGCGAGCAGCCATCATTCTTCTGCGCTGTGCCAGGAACTGCAAGCACAGGCACTCTTCGTCCCTGCTCCGTCTGGCATCCTACCATGCCCTTCTCCAACAGCTATAACAGCTGTGCTTCCAGTCTGAGGATGAGTTCCCTGATCTGAGCAGCCACAACAACTACATGGCCAAGGTGCTGGTCACTCTTATTTTTTAAGACAGATAACTAACTAGATAAGACAGATAACTAACTCTAACTAGCCTGGATCTTGTCAAGAGATGAGGCTAGCTATCCAATGAGATCACGAGGCCCATCTTTACCTCCTTATTGGCACACATCACTGGCAGGATCAGCTTTTTTAAATGTGATTTTTTAATATTCAAACTTATTTATTACAAATAAATCTTTTAAAAGTGGTTTTACTTATGTGTTTGTATTTGGATCGCCTGGATCTGAAGTTCCAGGAAGAATGATCATCTTTATGTGGGTGCTGGTTACTTAACTTGGGTTATTTGCAAGAACAGTATGTGTTCTTAACAACAGAACCATCCAGCAGCATCCCCACTTTTACTCCTAAAAAGGAGGAAGCACTTATATTGCATGACTTTGTCCTTCCATGGTGGCACATAGCATTAGTGTCTTGGCTTTGGTCACCAGTTTCATGTAGGTTACTACTTAACTAAAATTAAAAGTACAATCATCTGTCCTGTGCTTTTGGGATTAATTCTATAACACATGTTCCTGATACTTCATGCCAATATCCACCTGTGTGTGTTATATTAAATAGTATGGTATTTGCATGTTCTATGGACATCTTCCTTATGTCAATTATCATCCTTACGGGATAAAGGCCAGAAAAATTCTGTACATGTTTAGGGCGAATAAACTTTTCTGAATATTATTATCAGTGTTGGGCTGTATTTATGTATGTGAAACTAAATGACAGAGAAAGTCCAACTATAGATCACTGACTATAGAGACACTCCAAGTCTAACAAAACAAATAACTCATTTCCTCCATTAATTTTTGCCTACTTTTCTCATAATTGAATTTTTTATTCACTTTACACTCCAATTGCAGCCTCCTCCCTCCTCTCCCAGTACCCCACTTACAAATCACTTCCCTTACTACCCCTCCCTTTCTTCTGAGAGAAGGGGAAGTCCCCTTAGTTATCACCCCACCCTGGGACATCTAGTCCAAGCACATTCTCTCCCTCTACGACCCACCCAGCCATTCCAGTTAGGTAAAGGAGATCCAGTGTTGTTGCCTGATTATTTTTAGCTAAATGACCCTCCATACTTTTCTTGCCCCCCCCCATATTTTACCTTCTTATTCCTTTGTGTTATTTGTCCTTGGGTTTTAAAAGCTGTTTCATTTTCTTCCTCATACTTTTGTTGTTATTTAATTGGAAAATTCTAAGGAGAAAGGCTAGGTATCTTCTTTCTTACTTCTCCAACTTTTTAAGCATTTTTATTATTAATTGAAACAATTTTTAAATTTAAATGTTTTGATCATTCTTTTCCTCCCCTAAGTCATTCTAGTTCCTCTCTCCCTCCTTATCCACCGAATTTTAAAAACTAATACCCAATGTAATAAAACCCTCCACAAAATCCCTAGAAACCAAAATAATACCACACAAAAAAGAAAGAAAAAATGCCAGACTATAACCAACAAAGGCATGTGTGTGCAAACACACACACACACACATGCACACACACACACACAAACAAACAAAAAAAGAAAACAACAACAACAAAAAGCTTGTGGAGTGCATTATATATTGTTCAACTACTCCTGAACATGAGGACCATCTGTCTGACTGTCATGGAGTGGTTGATATACCCAGTGTTACTCTATTGGAGAAAACTGATTTTTCCTCTCCTGGCAGGTATTAAGTCCCCACTTCTAACAAAATAACTTTCAAAATCCAAGTGCTAATTAATATTGGATAAGGAATAAACTGGTAAACAGGAATTGCAGCTTAAAAACTTTATTATCACCTAAATTCCTTACTAAAACAAACAATCAAAGTACATACATTTTATTTGTATACAATGAAGTGAAATAAAGAAAACTAAGAACCAAGTATCCTTGCATTTTTTTCCATTTATGCTATCTCAATGTTATTTAACATCGACTATATTTTGACACAGATTTTACTCTCTGAGCCAACAAAACATTATATCGAACAAACTGGTAAATTCAAATTGATGCACAGCTCTCCCTTTCTTCCTATACATTTCTAGAAAAAAAAGTTAAGCCCAGTTAGTGCTACCCATATGGACCCAGGTTCATCTACTGGGACATGGAGAACACACCAGTCATCACACCCATAAAGAAAAGTGACTCTTGCTCCCAACAGCTTCAGGCAATAAATGTATAAGTAAATGCATTACTTATTTTACATTTTAAAAGTATTGAAAAATTTTAAAGAATCATCTGAAATCTAACACAAAAAAAAGTGAGATGAAGCTTAAATATGGCAGAAGAATGCAACAATGATATTCAGTGTGCTCCTTCTAGAGTGTCCATCTACTATTTAAATTGTCCATTGTTCTTAATTTCCACAAAGAATATCTTCCTCATACTTCAAACTTTGATGTGTAACCTAGAATTAAATGAGGGAAAAAGGGAAAACTGGAAGTTACTAATATAAAAGAGAAATAGAAATATTAAAAGCACATGCCCCCTTCATAGCATATTAACCTTTTACTATTAGGTAACTTACAGACCTTTACAAACAGTGAAGAGATAGCCTTATATATTACTTAGCATGGGAGGAGCTAGGCACCATGGCTCTTGAATATGAACTGGCCATTATAGCAGTGCGAACCCTGGCTGCAGCCCTGGCTTGGGCTCGCTCTTCGTCATCTTTCAGAGCTGCTTCATACAAGGTTGCAAAGGAATCTGGTGTAGTATCATGGATCTTGGCCCAAAACTCTAAGATTTTCATCTTGCTGATTTCAGCATGGGCTCTTGGACCCCACATGAATTCAAAGGATGGAGGATTGCTGTCGGGCACTTGTTGGTACTCCAAGTACTTTAGCTGGACCATATCTTCAGTGATGAACTTCTTAGGATCTCCATAGATGAAGTGCTTTCTATTAGCATATACGCCCATCATATTCAGCACATTCCAGATCTCCGTTTCAGGGGCATGGTTATCTTTCATGAATATCACACCCAGCACAATCATTAGGAGGCCACTATTGGGCATTTTTTCTTCGCCCATCACTCCATCAAAGGTATGTTCTAGTTTGTTAAAAAGAGCATAGCAGTGCTTGTTTGGATCTATTTCCTTCAGATCAACACCAAATGCCAGTTCCATGTGCTGTGAGGCTCTCTTTAGGATCTCATTGAAGTGGTTCTTAGATGTTTTGATAACACACTTCAGCATATCTGCCTTTGTAACAACCTCTTTCTTTTGATACTTCTCTATCAGGAACTGTACCAGTAAGACGACTTTGTGGTTTATAGGATCTTTACACCAGTCCTCAATGTCAGAGTCATCTGAACTTTTCTCATCTAGGTTTTTGGCACCTGTATTTGCATATGTGTGTGAATAGCTAGAATGATCTTCCATTGGCATGTTGGGAGGTGTAGGCATACCGGCAACAGGAATAGCCTGATGTGGACACCCATAGAAAGGACCTGGAGAGGCTTGTTCCTCCAGTGCATTTTTAGCACGGGCCTGGCGGCGCTTCTCACGAGCACGGAGCTTGCTCTTCTGACCACGAGGCATGATGACTGTAGTGGGGACCACAGGTAGTACTGCAAGCTTGTTGAGGAAGAGGTCACCCTGGAAAACAGAGGACGAGATAATTTGTACAGTCTCTGTTGGTAGATTCTACCATTAAGCCATGAAAAGTTGCCTTGCGCAGTTCCCTTAAGAGTACTGACTTAGGAATTCAAAAGGGAAAGGGAGATTTAGACCTTGAAGTCTCAGTTCCAGCTCACAATATTAACTTTTCTCCTGACCAGTACTGCTTGTCTCTTTGCTGAAGGCTGCCTCTTCTATCCACCTTTCATCCCTGCTTGCCAAACGGAAGCCTAAGGGCACAACAGCAGCAGTTGGAAACACTGGAAATTAAACCATAGGGATAGTACTGGGTAAAATGGAGAGGGTCTCTTTGTGAAAGCCTCTGGTCTGTGGGGTAAGAGTGTCCCAGAAGATACCTTGACAAACGGAGGTTCCTCACCGGACGCTCAAGCCAAAGCTTCCCAGAGGCTTCGCTGTCCTCGGAGAACGGCCGAAAACAACCGTCGTTGAAGAAAAGCGGATATTATGGTTATCCATTTCCGGTCACGCCCACACAGTCCTTTAAGATCAAGCGCGCAGGTGCAGATGGAAGGAGGGGGGCTGTCAGTCAACTGTTGTTCCGAAGACTAGTGCTTCCCAGAAATCTTGTAAAGTTGTTTCTTTCACTTTTCACTGTGGCTTGAAATTTTCACTCTTATGAGCATAGTACTTGCCTCAGATCCAGGCTCTCATTTCATTGAGAGTCCTGACTATGAAGCCAAAATCTAGCAGCCATGCCTGAGCCATTTCATGACAGAAAAAAAGAAGTGGAATTTTGTGGCACATCACCCATGGATGTCAATACCGTCGGTCCTCATTCAGTAACTTACCATGTTGCGTTACAAGTGCTGAGCTACTCCCAATCTGCTATTGCAGAATATTCCCACCAGGTAAGACATTAAATATAGAAATAATTTAAATGTAGTTGTTACTTAAACAGCAATATTCCATTCAACATGAATAGACTTATCTTATGACATGAATTGAAATGTCCTTTACCTAGTTCTGTCAGTAAAATTTCAAACTAACCCTGCTAAAATTGTTGTGTTTCAATTATTGTCCTACTAATATTTTGGAATTTTTAGAAATTAAATCTTACATAGGAAACAAATATGCTCACTTATAGTGTATGATATAAGAGTTCAACAAATTTATATATTGAGTAATATTTAAATTATGGCAAATATGTTTCTCACTTTAAACATTACCTATAATCAAAAATATATTTTAATTTTAGCTTGTTAAAAATATGGTATAGTTTTGATTAATACTGTGCACTAACATACCATACTTTTTTTTTAATTTCAATATCCATTGATAAGCCTATGATCATCTTTTTGTCTCCAAGTCTCCCTATTTTTATAATCAATATTCTACTCCAAGTTCTGTGTGTCAGCTTTTATAAAAAATGAACGAGTCTACCTATATATATTCAGCATATCAAATGGAAAAGGATGGGGATTACAGTGCATTCATTCATGTTTCTATTAGAATAGCTTATTAGGTAAAAGCAATAAGTTAACTTTCATATGGTAGTATTTTCACAGGTATAGCAAGGGTACTATAACACAATGAAGAGAACTACCTGGCATGCTCATTTGGAATGAGGACAACGGAGTTTTAGTGATAACTTGGTTTCAGCACCTGACAAACCTGCCTGGGCTTTAGTACCTATTACATTACCTTGTCATATAATACTTATTTTTGTCACTGCCTGAATTAATTGCCTTTGTCACTGTGAGGAAATAGTCAAAGTAACCAAGCTAAATTAGAAAATGTTTATTTTGGCTCACACTTTCTTTAGCTTTAGTCCATTGACATCTGGTTCTATTGTTTCTCTGTCTGTAATAACATGTAAATATAAAAACTGTAGGACATGGGTAGTAAGTGCTGCTCACCTCATGGTAGCCAGGAAGCATAGATAGGGGTCTAGTATTTACCTGTAAAATATTATTATACAATTCTTAAATTAAATTTGGTCATCCTGATAAGCCCTTAGAAGCAGTGATCACAGGAGTATTCACAGAACTTTGTTTATTGCCTTGCTTGTTCTTTGGCTAGTTGTGTTTATTGTCTTGCTTGTTCCTTAACTATTTGCATCTATTGTATTGCTAGTTCTTCAACCTAGTACTGACCTTAATACTCGCATGTAATTAAAATGGTATTAAAGCAAAAAGGAGGAGGGGGGATGGGATAAGGGGTTTCTAGGGAGGGGAAATGGGGAAAGGGGATGACATCGGAAATGTAAATAAATAAAATATCCAATAAAAAAGAAAAAAAAGAATACCTTAAGTGATTCCTACTAAGCAAAGATAAAATTTCATGTGCTAGGGATATAGCATGGAAATACAGTACTTGCCTACCGTGTAAGAAGCCTTGGGTTCAATGTCCAGTACACAGTAAGAGAAAAAGGCAAAAAAATAAAAATAAAAATAACAAAGATAAACATTTAGTGCATTTAAAAGTATTGTTTGATTATTATGGTGTTAAGAATATTTTAAATTGGTTCAATTATCTGACCTCAATGAGAGAAGGCATATCTAACCCTATAGAGACTTGAGGCCCCAGGGAGTGGGAGGTCTGGTGGGGTGGGGTAGGAGGTGGTGACATCCTCTTGGAGTCCAAGGAGGAGGAATGGGATGAGGAGCAGTCAGAGGGCTGACCAGGAGGGGGATAATGACTGTACTGTAAAAAAAAAATTAAAGAATAATAAAAAGAAAGTAAGAAAGAGAAAAGAAAGAAAGAGAGAGAGAGAGAGAGAGGGAGAGAGAAAGGAAGAGAGAAAGGAAAGAAAGAGAGAAAGAAAATGTTTGAATTTGCTGTTTGTAGATTCACTTCTAATGGAATGTTAAGATCTTAGCCTCTCAGGATGCACTGGATACTTACAGGGCAGGTAAGTTAGGAATTGGCATAAATTTCAATAACTAAGAAAGTAAATTTTATCAGATTACTTTCACAGACTGGTTTATAGATATGAAATATAATTGGATTCTATAATGTGAGTAATATGGATCCATACTCTTTATACTAAAATATCTGCTTGTAATTTAACAATGAGGACACTGAAGGGAGGAAGTATGGACATAGGAAAGATATTTATAAAGTATAATTAATTGAAGATATATAATATATAAGAAAACATTTATGCATTGTTTTATTTAGTCTATGGTATGAACTTTAATAGATTAGGAGGCTTTTATTAAAAATCAACATAATTGATATTTACTGGAACTTTGCCAATGTTATGAAAGCAGCAAACAATAAATAAAAAAAGGTAGAGAAGGGGGTGTGGGAAAAAATCCTTTATGTATAAACAACTTTAATTTCATGTACTGTACTTGGTCTTGTTAAATAATTACTGTTTTTATGTATCATTTTAATAAATAATTGCTAAATATTAGTCCCACTTATTAAATTTATATTAAATTTACTAGAAGGAAAGCAATGAATGTGTTTTTATTATAAGATTGCTGTCAATGGCAGAAGAGTTATAAGCATAAACTTGAGAAAACTCACAGGAAATATGACCTTAGTTTAATTCTTTAGAAACTCTATGGCTTTGACTTGATGGAAAATTATAATTTGTACTCAAATCATTTAGGACTCTCAAGGCCAGATTTATGCATTTCTAGGAGAAGAGTATGATATTAGTCTCCATATTCAGAATAAAAATGAAAAATCATAAAAATTCTTCCCAATTTAATGTTTTCTGTTGTACATAATACATAATGCAAATTTCAGACCAAGCTTAATGTTTGGCAATGTAATTTGACCATATAAGAGACAAGGGTCTTAATTTAGCAATGTAGGTAAAAATTGGGCAGATCCATTCTTCATGGCCCTGATTAGTATTTATCGAGAAAAAAAAAGATAAATATACAACATAAACATATTTTTATGTTGAGTAAATGTTTTACACATTTATTTACTTACTCATTAATTTATTCATTTTACAGCCTGATTGAGGCCCCCTCCCTTCTCTCTTCCAAGTACCACTCTCAGACCCCCTCTCATCCAAGTCCTGCCCTTAGACTCCTCATCTTCTTTTCCTCAGAGAAAGGAAGGGCCCCTGTCATGGGTAACAACCCACCCTGACACATCAAGTAACAGCAGGATTATGTGCGTGTCCTCCTCTCTTACTGAGACCAGACAAGGCATCCAAGAGAAAAGGGATCAAAAGGGAGGCAATAGAGTCAGAAAGAAACAGCCCCTATTCTAATTGTTAGGGGACCCACATGAAGAAGAAAACTGCACAACTGCACATTTATATATACACTACAAATTGTTGGGTTTTATGAAGAAATGTACAAGCAAATAGGACCATAAACCATCTGATCCAACAGGATTGGAAAGGGTATCCTGGAAAATTAGTATTTAAAATGACAAATAATGGATTAAAATCATCTAGAATGCAAACAAAGGGGTGAAGTTTGAGGACTCTTTCTTTTAAGGAATTGCCTGTTCAAATGTCTGATTGAAGGATTAGCCTGAAACAGTCAATAACTATAAGACTCTGTTAGCATAAATACAAAGCGAATGGGGAGATTCTATACTAACAATGAAAAACAAAATCAAACAAAAACTCACTAAGGATTTTAAATCAAAGCAAGGAAACAATCTGATAAGATACATCTTTTATAAAAAAAGATTAATGTGACTGTAATTTATACATAAGCATTTGTAAGATTCACACACACACAGTCACACAAATGCACACAATGTTGTAGAAAACAGAATTTGGATATTGTTACTTTATTTCAGGATGCTGGCATTTGAGACAGTATTTTGTAAATATATTGGAAAGGATAATGTTGAGTAGCATTTGGAAGAATTATATATTAGTTTAAATAAGGATGGTATATGAGGGAGTCATGTCTAAAGCATCTATTTTTATATGAAGCATATGAAACTTCACAGTTGAATCACCTAATATAAATTGAGAA